AACAAAAGATTTTTTAGCAAGAAAATTTTGTCAAAACTGCACTAAAATGAATAAAATAAAATAAGTTAAGGTCTCGTTAAAGTTACTAAAAGCCATTTAGTAAAAGGAGTTATTCAAACTCTAATGAAAATTACTAACAATTTGTACTAATTTACTTCGTTTTTAAAAAAGCTTAATTTTATTCCTTTGATTGTACAGGTTAAATAAAAGCTTGTTTTTAAAAAATATTTTTTTTACATTATTTTAAATTGAATTTACAAATTACGGATGGTTTTATTTTGCAAAAAAGTTCGATTCATGAAAGATTCTGAGTACATATATTCAAATTCAAAAGTGAATAGACATTTGGAGTGCATATTTGTGTGTGTGTGTGTGTGTGTGTGTGTACAAACAGAGTGGTGTATAAGGAAAGTTAAATGTCGATGTTCTGTTTACAATGTTGCGGAGGCGTGTGTGAATGTGTAGTGGATGTGGGCTACATCTGCCGGCGTCGATCGGTGGTGCAGCGCACGAGCAGAAGTCCGGGGTAGCCTTCGCGGAAGGGCTCATTTGGCCAGAAATATTGAACGTAATATTACAATATCCACATGAATTACGTAATTTATATGCTATTTAGCTGTATAAAAACTGCAAAAGGGCTCAAAATTAATATAACACTACTGCGAGTTTTATGTAAACATCCAATTTAAATCTTTGTTTTATCTTTTCATCAGTTCAATGTGCTTCATATGTATATACAAATAAACATATTGCACAAATCTTATACTTATATTTCACACCAAAGGTACACTTTTCCCAAGTAAAGCTGAAATTAGTCAAGAACGTAAACGCAGCGGTACGTAAACCCGTGTCAGCTGACACGATCTATCTTACCAGAACGCCATGTAAATGAAAACTCAACAACGCAGAATTTTTCTGTAGTTGTAGCCCGTAGCGCAGAAATCTGCGGAATTTAGATTTTTCCGTGTCAGCTGATTTCTTCCTGGTTGCCACTTCGTCAGTTTTGCAGATGGTAAAAAGGTTATAAGTTGCTATTCAAAATACGTTTAAAATATTTGAAATTTACTATTGAATAAGGTTTTTTGTTAAAAACTAAGTAGTTTATATTAAGCTCCGATCTATTATAGCACCAAAAATTGTAGTTGAAAAGGCAAGTTTATAAAAAGGCATTGATGAATGGCAATACTGTAGTAAGCAACACTGAAGTAAACAAACAGAATGTATACAAACACGTATGTATGTACCTAAAAAGACTTGAAGTACTTGCAGCGAGATAGGTTTTTAGAACTGCGATTTATTTAAAGATTAAAACAAAAAGTAGCAATGGACGACGAAAGATTAATAATATTAGTACAGGCGCATAAAGAGCTTTACGACAAAAGCAGCCCTCTTTATAAATTAAAAGAGAGGAAGAAATTGGTGTGGGAACATATCGCAAGGGAACTGCATACCACTGGTGAGTGAAATTTATTTAATAAATATTTTAAATCACTATCTACAATAAAATTATATTATAGGAGATATATGCCTGCAAAGGTGGCTAGCGCTCCGTGACCGATATGGGAGGGAAATGCGTAAAACTACTTCCGCGTCAGGGAGTGGAGCACAATACTATAAACCACGGTATTTGTTGGAAATGCTGCAGTTTTTGAAACCACACGTTGTTCCTCTACCGTAGGTGCACGTAACAACGAACGCTTTCTGTTTATAATAACGATTTTACATTCCAGATTGCGTTGCTCTCAAAACATTTGTAAGGTACCGCTACCGTCCCAATCGATTTTGACTGTGACTCCATCCTACTCATCCCCGCACACTTCTGTCGTTGTAAATCCACCATCGCTACAAATGTCGCCATCACTGCCAGTCGAAGTAGCCTTATCATCGCCATTATCTCCAACACCTGAAGCTTCGCCCTCCCCATCGCCTTCAATAAATGCGGATTTACTATCGCCCCAAACTAATGAAGCTTTGCCCACGCCGTCTCCTCCAAACTCATCATTGCTTTGTTCCTCTTCTTCATCGCTCTTCACGTCGGTTCAGTCGTCTTCACCATCTCCATCACAATTACCATCTACCTCTACAGTGTCGCCATCACCAGCCCAACGCTCAAAAAGAAGAAAAAGAAGTGAAGGTGATGTCGACGTCGGTAAAGCAATGTGCGATGCAATAGAGCTTTTTAAAAAAAGGTGCTTAGAAAACGAAGATCAAAATGCGAATCCAGCCTTGAGGTCATTTGGAAATATGATTGTTTCCATGTTGGAAAAAGTGAATGCTGCAAAACAATCGAGGGCAATGCAGAGAATAATGGAAGTGGCCATCGAAGTACAGCAGGAGCCCTAATGAAAGTTCCTAATGTTTTTTTTTATTTACTTATTTTATTACTTATGAATTTTTTTTTTTTTTAAGAACTAAAAAGACTGAACTACTTATTGATATTGTTTGTTTGTATACCCAGGAGTGGACATTTTTTTATTAAAATATACTTCCTACAAATATAAATGTTCTTATGATTATTTACTTTTTTATATATATTAATATGGCCCATGGGCATTTAGATCCATATCATCTTGGAATAACAAAGATCCTTCATTTACGAAGTAATCAGCAAGTTTGTCACGTAGGTGGAACGCGCTAGCAGGGCCTCTCCGTATTGCAGATCTCAGGGACTGCAAGGTACGTGTATTACTTATTTCACGACGCCAATCTCCAGGGTAGACGACGTTGTCTGCTTCTACATGGTCAATATAATTGTCTGGACAATACCATCGGTCGTAATCGTTTAGCATAATAAAATTGTGTAAGGCTATGCAAGCCAGCACAATTTTTTCGCAGTTTGTAGGATTGCATTCAATTGTATTTCTTAGAATCCTCCATCGGGCCGTTAATATACCGAAGCTATTTTCTATCACTCTACGTGCTCGTGATAGGCGATCATTAAAAATTCGCTTGGTTCTTGGCAAACTCGATCCAGGGTATGGGCGCATTAAATTAATCCTTAACAGAAAGGCAGCATCTCCTACAAAAAAATTGGGAAAACGTTCAGTTGACCCAATGGACAATGGTTTAGGTGACGGCAAGGGAAGAGTATTATCCAATAGTGCTTGTCCAAACGGAGACACTTGAAATATTCCTGAGAATACAAAAAATATGCTAATAAAAGTCTATATTTCATTAGTTTGCTCTATAGCTTATACCTCCGTCGCTATGACTGCCATAACTTCCGATGCAGTAAAGTGTATTTAGCATCACATACTGCCATCAAAACAATGCTAAAGAACTTTTTGTAATTGTAGAACATTGAATTTGAATTGGGTGGACACTTAATAGCAATGTGTTTTCCATCAATTGCGCCAACGCAATTCGGTATATTCCACATATTAAAAAAATCGTCAGCAATATCTTTATATTGAGATTCAGTAGGTTCGCTCATGTATATTGGCGAAAGCATTTGCCATATCACCTCACACGTTTCCAGAATTATATTTCGCACTGTCGTTATACCTAATTTGTAACTCCACGCAATACTCTTCATGGATGCTCCTTGTGATAAGTATCTACAAATTAAACCTCAAATAAGTATCAATTTTTTCAGAATTTACTTCGATCATATTTACATACAACAACACCAAAGAGAGCCTTTCCTCAGGATCAATCCGCTGCCTTGGTTTCCGCAAGGACTTGCTGACTAGTTTTAGCAATAGCTCAAAAACATTCGGCGGCATTCTTGTGTAAGAAATAACTGATCCGGTTCCAGGGTTTTTATTTGCTTGAATACCTGGAGTTGGTATACTCCGGTGGACCAGTTTCGATTAATGGGGCGAATTTTATACTTCCTCAGTCCTTTTCTTGATTTATATTCTTCATATAGTTTATATAATTCTCATAAATTCACATAAATATAAAAACAATGTCTCGATGTTTCTATCTGCGTCCATTTTCTTACTATTGTTGCTTGTAAATGATTAGTGTACACATATGCATGTATGTATATCAGCATCCGAAAACAGCTGATTTCTGCGTATTCACTGCGGGCTCCAGTAATCGACAAAATTCTGCGTATACAGACTGCGTTTAAGTATACGTTCTGCGTTCTGGACTAATTTCAGCTTAAGTTTGCAAAGAAGCAACACGGTGCCACTGCTAAGGGAGCGGTGCGAGAGAGACAACTGTCAGTTTATCGAACCTTGTATTATTAGGTTTGTATAGTAACTTCTCCAGTAAAACATTGCAGCGAGAGCGTAAAAGCAAAATAGAGCGTAAAATTGAGAAGAACAGAAAACTAGCAGAAAAAGTTAATGAACACAAAAATAGCAAAAACTTGCAAGTTAACAGCTGTTGCACTGTTTTGATATACTGCTGTAAACATTTTACTATTTATAAATAATTTTTAAACGCTTTGCTTTACACATACGCACTTATACAGTCCAGTACATCATTCATATTTTGATTTCTACTCATTTAACTTTTGTTTGTGCTAAACCAATTCAACAAATGGCGGCTTTTGACACTTATTCTTCTTCTTCTTCTGCTAGCTAATTTCTGCTAGTAGAAATTTCACTAGCAAGAATTTGCAGCTCTCCCGTGTTGTTACGCTCTCGATTCAGTGCTCTCTTGCAAATTTTTTGGGTTATCATACACTTTTCCAGTAAAAATTTGCAGGTTCCAGTACAAATTAGTACTGACTATTGGTTACTATACAAACCTAATAAATCATGCACTTCTATCATGTGTACGGTGTTACACACGCATTTTTTTTTTAATATTTCGAGTATTCTGTTTTGTAGTCCATCAAATTTTAGCGTAGTAAAGTGTAATCTTGCATCTTAGACTAAAATACCTTCAAGAGCGTGCATAAAAAGAGTTACAAAAAATCAGCGCGATTAACTATACTAAAGTTTAATGGGCAATATAACTACATACTTATAAACTCTGATTTAAAATATTGAAGCTTTTATAACAGTTTCTAGAATTCTAAAAAATTTCCAACACAGTTAGAAACGTGAATTTATATGTTTATGTTATAATACTTATGAGCCATCCTTAAATAAAAAATTTACGAAAAATATTTAGCATGAAAACCGTTGTGAATATCTTGAATTCTATATATATACCTTTCAATACATTTAATACAATTTAGCGCTGAGTTATCACAAAAAAGCATTCAATATATCACCATTTTTCTCATTTTTCACACGACTTATTTTAGATTTTTAATTATAAGTAACACGGAAATACATGTTATACGTAACAAATATAAATTATTTTTAAGAAAAACGGTTTTAGAAAATGAAGGAATAACTAACACTTAATGTTCCTAATTTGAAAGCACAATTTGCCTCAAAAAGTAAATTAGTGCAAAACAAATAGCTATTTAAACATAAAATGAAGTAAGTTTTATTTACAAAATTGTATGCGTGCTTATTTAAAGAAAATGCTCTATACTATATTTCTTAGAACCAGCTCAAAACTAACCAAATTTTTTCTAGCTCGGAGGTTACTCTTTTTGAACTAACTAGGAACTATTGTTATATGAACTGTCTCAGAACCATCTAACCCGAGTCAGCTCAGAACAAGTTCAAAAGTTTTGCAGAGGGCGACAATTGTCACTTCGTAGGACATCGCCATGTTAAAAAAGACAGTTGAAAGAATTGATTCGGGGTAGATGAAGAACCAGTACCGTCCCTTTTCAGGCTAGCTCAGCGAAAGTTCTGAACCAGTTTGATTTGCTGCAGGGAAGTGCTTATTGTGTGTATGCACATGGTATTAATTTAACAGAAACTTGCTAATAAAAGGTTAAAGAATAACACTTAGAAAAATACCAATACAAGAACGAAAGTTAAGCTGAATACGTTCATAGATAAAGAAAAGGATAAAGGCAAAGGTAAAAATAAAAACAAAAACAAAGATGCGTAAAGATTAAGGCAAAAATAAAGACCAAGGTAAATTTAAACACTTCACTTATAACGGGTGATTTTTTTGAGGTTAGGATTTTCATGCATTAGTATTTGACAGATCACGTGGGATTTCAGACATGGTGTCAAAGAGAAAGATGCTCAGTATGCTTTGACATTTCATCATGAATAGACTTACTAACGAGCAACGCTTGCAAATCATTGAATTTTATTACCAAAATCAGTGTTCGGTTCGCTTTACGTCCGATTTATGGTCTACATAATCGACCAAGTGAGCAAACAATTAATGCGATTGTGACCAAGTTTCGCACTCAGTTTACTTTATTGGACATTAAACCAACCACACGAATGCGTACAGTGCGTACAGAAGAGAATATTGCGTCTGTTTCTGAGAGTGTTGCTGAAGACCGTGAAATGTCGATTCGTCGCCGTTCGCAGCAATTGGGTTTGCGAAACACATTTCGAACCGAACACTGATTTTGGTAATAAAATTCAATGATTTGCAAGCGTTGCTCGTTAGTAAGTCTATTCATGATGAAATGTCAAAGCATACTGAGCATCTTTCTCTTTGACACCATGTCTGAAATCCCACGTGATCTGTCAAATACTAATGCATGAAAATCCTAACCTCAAAAAAATCACCCGTTATAAGGACAAAGGTGGAGGGAATTATGTAGATGAAGAAAATGCTAAACATAAAAGTAATGTGAGGACCAAATATCCCTGAGTAATTTGGCCCACACAAATACCCGCCATCAAAACAACCAGCCACACATAAACCAGCAATATGACATCACGCAACAGCCAGTCAAGCAACACAAGTCATAGCAACNCGAAAGTTAAGCTGAATACGTTCATAGATAAAGAAAAGGATAAAGGCAAAGGTAAAAATAAAAACAAAAACAAAGATGCGTAAAGATTAAGGCAAAAATAAAGACCAAGGAAAATTTAAACACTTCACTTATATAAGGACAAAGGTGGAGGGAATTATGTAGATGAAGAAAATGCTAAACATAAAAGTAATGTGAGGACCAAATATCCCTGAGTAATTTGGCCCACACAAATACCCGCCATCAAAACAACCAGCCACACATAAACCAGCAATATGACATCACGCAACAGCCAGTCAAGCAACACAAGTCATAGCAACACGAGTCATGGCAACACCCGACAGCATCTTCGGTGCCATGCACGCAACATCACACAGCAACATGTAGCTGCGCGACCACGCAACATCAAGCACGCATCCTATTAAAGATAAAACACAGCCGATGAACAGGCAGTGAGCACGAGGCTGTGGTCGTGAACAAACGGCTACTGGCAGGAAGTGACTTCTTCTGCACCGGCTTGAGCGTCGGGCTGGACGTCACCTTCCCAGTGGCAGCGCCACACGCTCTCACCACAGCCTCTCGTGGAACCGCGTACGGGCGACACCCGCTCGCCCGCTGTCGGCACCACCGTTAGCAGAGGGAACACCACTTATAGACGTTAGCAGCGCGCCACTCAGCAGCGTCAGCAGAGCGCTGCCCACCAGTACTAAAGCCACGCCACTACAGCCTAACGGGCTCATAACGGTACAAGGAGCCGTTACCCAGCCCCTGCAAGTGACGCTACTGAATGTTTCACATTGTTATTTGTTATATGTTCTTTTTATAGAAATTAAGGAAAATTAAATAATAAAGTACGATTTACCAGAGCCCCGAAGCTACAAATTTATTGTAACGAACCCTGGACACGGCGAGTACACCCCAGCATTTTAGAACAAGCATCGGGGCTAGCAAAAACGCTTCGTTACAATTGGCGCCCGAGCAGGGACCCTCGGTAGATTGTACACGCGCCAAAAGGGATTTTTCACCAAACAACAGCGAGTAAAATGACGGAATCGGCGAACACTCTATGGCTGGATAACGAATACAAGGAGCATCTGGTGTCTATCGCGCTCATCATGGACCAGGTACGGCAGTGGTCAGTAACTTACGATGGTGGACGAGACCCGCTAGACTTCGTGGAACGCTTAGTGGAGCTGGCCGAGGTATACACGTTTGATCTAGACCTACTCCCCAGAATCATGCCCGAGCTACTACGCGACAAGGCCCTCCAATGGTACCGCAACAACAACGAGCACTGGAAGAGCTGGTACCCTTTCAAGCAAGATTCTTCCTACCGGCCCGGTACTTCGAGCGCCTAGAGGATGACTTACGGCAGCAAACACAGCACGCACAGCAAAAGTACAACGACTACGTGCTCGCGATACAGAGCTTGATGCGCCGCGCCAGATACAGCAGGGAACAACAATTGGAAAGGATCTTTCGGAACAGCCACCCCGATTATTTGTTATACATTCCATGACGAGACTTTGATACCCTGGCGGCACTCCTCACACTCGCTAAAGAATACGAGGGCATTCTCGAAAACTAACGCCGAACGCCGGAAACGCCCCGACGTGAAGTCACGAGTCACGTTGTGGGCGATAACCCTGAAGCGCCGCCTACACGGTCGGACAGATCATCTCATCAACATCCATCGGAGCGTTCGGCCCAACGGCATCCAGTTCCATCGCAGAAGGCAGCGATGAACCTACAGCGCCATCAACCACCCCCGACCCAGGCTAATCCAAGTAACGTATGCAGAAGGTGTGGTCAAGAAGGACATTACGCTAGGAGATGCCGTAACGCGCGAAAGCTATTTTGCTGGGAGTGCGGCCGAGCCGATGTGCGGGTGCTGTCACCAACGCCAAGCGTATGACCGGACAGCTCCACCAAGGACAAAACGCGGTGAATTCGCAAAATGCAGCGTTGAAAACCCAGCGACCATGCGCCAAGAACATCGCCGGATCTACGCCCCAATACAACTTGGAGGGGAATTGGCGGAGGCCGTCATCGACACAGGCGCCTCAAAAAGTTTCGTATCAGCCAACTTAGCGGAACGCATCATAAGCTCTGGGAACGGGGAGAAGATAACCGTGGACATCGAGGTATTCATGGCCAATGGCACCATCAGCAAGATATTCGAAGCCGTAAGAGCTGAAATTCGCATCGGAAAGTCATACCGCCACGCAGTACTGAATGTCATACCCGGCGCAGTTGATGATGTCATACTTGGTCTGGACGCGCTAGGCAGCATTGG